GCCTGTGGTTTCTTTTACAGAGTCAATCCATCTCATATTTGGACTTCCTCTTTTCCTGATGCCTCAACCTTTCCCAGCATTGTCTTTTCCAGAGAATCTTGCCTTCCCATGTCATGTCCAAGTAGGGAAGACTCAGTTTCATCATCTTTGCCACCACAAATAGTTCAGGCTTGATTTGTTCAAGGATCCAATAAACTCAAGCCTGTGGTTTCTTTTACAGAGTCAATCCATCTCATATTTGGACTTCCTCTTTTCCTGATGCCTCAACCTTTCCCAGCATTGTCTTTTCCAGAGAATCTTGCCTTCCCATGTCATGTCCAAGTAGGGAAGACTCAGTTTCATCATCTTTGCCACCACAAATAGTTCAGGCTTGATTTGTTCAAGGATCCAATTGTTCATCTAGTTCGGGCTTGATTTGTTCTAGGATCCAATTGTTCATCTTTTTGATATTCCAGGATATCTGCAAACCTCTCTTACAGCCTCATATTTCAAACAAATCTCTCTTTTTTGCAGAAATTCCTGTCAGCTTTCTTTATTGTATAGTTTTCACACCCATACATAGTGAACAGAAACGCAATAGTGTGGATGAAAGCTTTCTTTATTGTATAGTTTTCACACCCGTACATAGTGAACAGAAACGCAATAACGTGGATGAATCTGGTCATGGTTTCCAGTGATACATTCTTGCAACTGATGATCTTTACTAGTTCATTCATTGCTGACCTTCCAAATCTCAGTCTTCTGATTTCTTGATTACAGTCTCCATTTGGATTGTTGATTGAACCAAAGTATATTAAATCTTTATCAATTTGAGTTTCTTCACTGTCAACATTAAAGTTATGTTGTTCCAGTGTTATGTTTTTTGTCTTCTTCATGTTCAACTGCAGTTCTCCTTTGGCATTTTCTCCTTTCACTTTCACATCTGCATATCTTAAATTACTGATGTTTCCTCCGGCAAATTTCACTCCTCTTTCATCTGAATCTGCTCTGGCTTTCCATATGATGCATCCTGTGTACAGACTGAATAGACAAGGGAATAAGATGCAGCCTTGTCTGACACCTTTGCCTACAGAAAACCATTGTGTCTCTTCTTAATCTGTTCTAACAGTAGCTTCTTGTCCACAATACAGGTTACACATCAGGACAATCTACTGCTGAGCCACATCCATTTCTTTTAGAACAATCCATTGCTTCTTGTGGTCTACACAGTCAAAGGCATTGCTGTAGTCTATAAAGCATAGACTGATTTTCTAATGAAGTTCTTTGGTGCACTCCAGTAGCCAGCAGATATCTGCAATATGACCTCAAGTGCCTCTTCCTTTTCAGAATCCAATTTGAACATCAGGAATTTCTCTCTCCAGATAAGCTAAAAGCCTTTGTTGCAACACCTTGAACATCATTTTGCTTGCATGGGAAAATAGTGCAATGGTCCTATAGCTAATGCACTCTTTGGCATCTCCTTTCTTGTTAATTGGAATGTGTATTGAATGTTTCCAGTCTGTAGGCCATTGCTCAGTTTTCCTTATTTGCTTGCCTATTCTCATTAGGATTTTGGCAGATTCAGTCTCTGTAGCTTGAAACAGTTTTATCAGTATTCCATCTATCCCTGGTGATTTATTTCTTCCTAGTGCTTTCAGAGCAGCTTTCACTTCACTTTCTACAACTCACATTCTTCATCATAGGATTCTTTTTTAAAGGAATCTGTCAACCTTTTATATCTTCTTTATAGGTCTTCAGTACACTGTTTTCATCTTCTCTTTATTTTCTCCTGGTCAGATAGTGTGCTTCTCTGTTGTTCACTCAGAATTCCTAATCTAAGCTTAAATTTCCGTTTCATTTGTTAGACATGTAGTAAAAAGAAAAGGGGCAGCTGAAACTGTGTCATACTTTGGAAATATGTCTAAGGTAAGTTCTTAGCTAACAAAAGAGCTGATTCATGAACTTTGTGGCTTACAACTCATGTATGCATCATTATTTCTCAGTTCTTATGGGAATTCAGTCAGCATTATGAATGTCCTAACCCAGGGATGGCCAACTATGGTCCTCATATATTTCTGGACTACAATTCCCCATGACTCTCACTATGGGCTACATCAGCTAGGACAGATGTGAGTATTAACAAAAACAATGCTCACAACCATTAAAGAAAGGAGCCAGCAAACTAGGAGCAGTGATCTGATAAATCTTCTGAGAAAGTAAGGTTTCTATGTTTATCCCATTTTCATAAAATAAAAAAAATTCTGGATATCTCTTAATAACTCAATCCATACTTGATCAGCCTCAACAGATGATCCCACCCCATTCACTAGCCCAGTAGTTTTGGATCTCATAGGACTTCAAATCCAGCATAACCCAAAGTGAGAGATTCTGAGAGGTGCAGATGTATCTAGGAACTTGAGGTTGAGAAATATTACCCTTGAGAGTAGATACTCCCTTGACTAAAAAGTATATAATGAGAGGTCAAGTAACCAAGACATGAAAAGGTGACTGAGGAAGATATAGGATATGATAAATCACTTGATTCCTATTCAGGCATTTAAAAGCTTTTAAAATAACACAAGGTCATTAGTTAGATCTTTCACCCTCTATTGCCTGTCCTGTCAAAGGTGACTTTCTGATGTGGGTAGCTTCTATTATCTGTAAAGTCTCTCCATAAAATCTGGATCTCCAGCAAACCAGGTTTTGAAATTGTGTGAGGAACCATCACAGATACAAGAGGCCCTCTTCTTTTCAAATCCATTGCCCTCCAAGCACAGGAGGGTGGCAAAAATATTCATGAAAGAACGGAGCCAGCCAGCTCACCTTCTTCCTACATTTGCAGATAACCTTCAGTTAAATACAGTACTTGAATAGATTCTGCAATGTGGAATTTAAAGGATAGTCATATCAATGCTGCATTGAAATTCAACAATGAGGTGCCAATCCGATACCTATTTAGTTGGGAGTAAGCCTCAACTATGCTTACTTCACAACAGACTTGTGTTGGACTGCCCTTTTAGTCATTTTGCCTTTTTAATGCCAACAATTTTGGAACAGTGAAGAGAATTTTAAAAGCTGTGTGATAAATAGGACAGGTGCTCTAAAGCATATGATTGGTTTTTCTCCAAGTTTTAATGCACAATTCCTAGTTATTTTTCCAGGACAAGTAAGACGATGAACTTTATATTCCTAGCATAAGAGAAACTAGGAATTTGTGTTACTGAAATATTTAAAATTAATACAAACACCAGTCATCAAGTTCATACTTCAAAATCCAAGAGACTTTCTAAAAGTATATTTCAAGATTATGCTGTCAGCAGCATTTTATTACTCTTGGCTTCCATTTAGCCTTCTTCCCCAAAGCAATATTTAGCAGAACCACAATTTAATACAGCATCAGTATATTTGCGTCTCTTTATTAGATAATTTAACTGAGCACACCTTAAGACAAAACATATGAACCTAACAAAGTATTATTTCCATTAAAATGGCACTTGAATATACCCAAACATTCTCTATTTTAATGTTTATGAGAAATACAAATTTTTCACTGGGGCTGACATCATCTAGGCTACTTCATATATACCAGAGTCAGCAACAGTCATCCTGTAGCGGAGAAGCAGAATAAGCATACTTTTCCACTTAAACACATTTAGATTACTACTTGCAAACCACACACACCACCCAAATGGCCAATTAGTGCAGAGACCTTATTTGGGTGCACATAATATGCATCTTTTGGGTTTACATGCATTAATAGGGCAACAGTTGCAGCCCAAAACAGGATGTTTTTCAGCACTTCCACCGGGGGGGGGAAATGAATTTAGTCACAAAACACTACAAATACTTCCAGCAAAGCTCAGCTTGGCGCTTGCTGTGGCCTATGGCACTCTTCACATAGACCCAAAGCATTTTAGAGAGGCTGAAAAGTCATACATTTAGCACTGTCATTGACACTGGATGGCTTCTTCCAGTTCTACCCCCACTGTCCATGTGGTAGCATCTAGAATTTTTAACACAAAAGGTCTTCAAGATCTGGGACCTTGACTGCAGATGGTTTCAGGTAGGTTTCTGAAGAAGCTTACCTATGTCCATGTAGAAATATATACACAAACTTCCCCACCTCAAATATCTTGCAATAAAATGTGGAAAATGACAGTAAAAATTGAACATCACAGGACAGCACAGGAAGAGCTAAAGGCACAGAGTGGAAAGCTTCTTCTCTAAAGAAGAATGAATACTGTAGCCATCCATAACCAAGTTGTGCTGGGACCTAAAGCACCATGGTTTCACAGCTCAGTCATGGACAGCTTCAGTATATCATTGTACTCAACAAAAATAACTTTCAAAACATTGTAGTGTGACACACCTGTATGGAAACTCTTACTCCATGTGAGTAACATGTGAAGAGAGCTCAAATACATGGAAGTTGTGGCAAACCTAGATAATAGCAGCTAAGCATATTTGGGTGTGGTGATTCACATTTCTTCTTCTTTTTTTCCGCAAAGCTGCAATCTACAGTCCTTCACCTTCTCAACAAAGAAACGTGGAAAAACAGTGATGTCTGCAGACCATCCACAAAAAATGCATATCCTTCGTTATTCACTTAATATGAAGTGTAAATACAACATTTAAGTTTTCGTGCAAAATTATGTCATGAGGCATAATGCATCTACTATCTCACCTCTGCATGCACTGCCAATTTCATAATTTTTATTGAATGAAAAGTAGGAAAGACAGCAGACTCATTCATGGAACACAGAGTGCCATTCATTCTGCTCCAAGTCCTAAAGCCTTCGCCACTTTGAAAAGGAAGTCCTCAGGGGTGGCAGAATCAGGCATATGAGCACTGAAGCTTTCTTTCTAGAGGCAAGCTTTGTTCAATTTGCCTTCCCCTTAAAGGAAGCAATTACACAGTGAGATGGATTCTGTCAGTCATTGGTAAAGCATGTCCATACACCCACACTTAATATCGGTGACAGCATAACACTTCACTGAGATTAAAACAACTGTGAACTTACCAATATACTTCCTCCAGCAGTTGGCTGCCTTGCCAGACTTACACCCATCCATTCATCATCTCTGTCCTCTTTACATGTCTTCCCACAGGCCATTCCTGGAATGCTGGCTAAAAGAAATGCCAGAAAGATGCCAGTTTATCAATGATAAAGATGATATTAAACACTTGAATCTCTACAGGAAATCCTCACTCCAGTTTATTTGATGATTATTTATCCTACCTGGCACATTAAAAGTGAATCCCTCTTAGCATAGAAGGATGTAATGAAAGGAATGCATCACTCAACAATAATACTGAAAGTACTTCTGCATCTACATAACTAGTCAGGCCACAGGAAAATTTATACAATGTAAATATCAAGATACTGAAGATAGCAGTGACTGAGATCAGCTCCCAATATGACTTTCTAACACTTCTTTGTGTCTGCTATTTGATTTTACATTGGGAAACAATTACCTTCAGTTTAAGATTGATCTTCTGCCCAAGATAAGTTTGCCTTGAGTCCCATTTTGGGGAGAAAGATGGGTTATAAATCTAATAAATGTATCTCTCTTTATTAACCACAGATGTCAAAGGCTCTTCTCAGACTGATACACACGTGGCTAAGAATACTACAATGATTGCATGGACTCAGAAATGCAATACCCAGAGGGCAACAGGAAGAAGGGGGAGGGGGTTATATATTCCAGGAGGTGGGGCTGTAACTGTAATATCTCCTCCAGTACCAGCAACTTCAGACTGCTTGTATATTGTATATAAATACCCCAAAATACACCAGCAGCTGTTGTTCATGGGTAGGATAAAAGAATGGGGAGTGAAATGTGCATTTTATTCAGAAAGTATACCTGTTTTCAACTCACACTGGTCCTCAAACCTACAGGAAAGTGGAATAGAAAGATATACATATGTTCTGCACACTGGAAGGAGTAACACAAGTATGACTAGTATTATAAAGGTGGTGTACATCAGTGGTTCTTAACCTTTGTTACTCGGATGTTTTTGAACTGCAACTCCCAGAAACCCCAGCCAGCACAGTTGGTGGTGAAGGCTTCTGGGAGTTGCAATCCAAAACTCCTGAGTAACCCAAGGTTAAGAACCAGTGGTCTACATGTACCAACACTACCACTAGAATTCATGCTTTTTAAGAACATAAGACATTCAAAACAAGACATTATTATTATTAGACTGCAACTGCAACCCTATGTTAAAGCTGAGCTAAAAGAAAAGTTCTACCATTATAACTAGAAATCCTAGGGTTGTGGATAGTGAGTTCAGTGGCTTATATTGATAAGAACATTCAGTAGACTGATCTGAAACTTGATAGCATAATAAATGTGGGCTTGAGTAGGATACATGCCAATTCTGAAACCAAAAGTGTTGGAAATGGCTAATATATAGGAATTAAAAATTTAATATGTGACCTCCAGCAATCTGATAAGTATTCTCTGTTTTGGAACACACACACCCAACACATTGCTAGGGTTAAATCTCATCAGACAAATTCTACATTTTATGGCATCTTTCTGAAAACAACTTGCTGAGTTATGTCAATGGGAAAGTTTTCCCAAGCAGTAATGACGCATCTTTGTAATTTTTTTATTTAAGAATGTGATTTTTTTTTCAACACATTTCAGACTGTGGAGTTCATAGTCTGTCCTGGCCATGATCAGATTGCCATGAAAAGTATCAAAATGAGGAAGAAGCAGAAGAGGACAAACAACAACAATAACCTGGCAGACATTGCAGAATGAACTGGAATTAGTAATTGCAAAATTCTAAACATCCTATAATGAACACCTTTGCCTCATGGTCACCACAGTTCTAGATAACAAATCAAAAGGTAAAAGTGCCAGTTTTGAATTATGAACCTTTTATGTTGAAACTAATATCTTAATTTGATGTTACGAAAACCCTGATACAAACCAACATATGTCTACACACCATCATAATTAGGGTTGGGAAGAAAACGACACTCAACATGACTATCAGATTAGCTGACATTCAAAATTTTCTGCTCCTTCTTTGCCTGCAAGAACATTCCTCAAGAATCTATTTCAACCCAGCTGGAAAACACTCCCTCAACCAATCTTGTGGACAGATCCAGAAAGAGCACTATGTGCAGGACTTGTCGAAAAATCTCTATTTTATTGTGTGGATGAGTACTGCTCTGAAGGCTCAACCGAGAAATCATTTATTTGTTTGTTTTATTTGTATAACATATTTTTCTCCTGTTCATCTTACTAAGTTGGCATTATTCCACCTGTCTTATGAGAACAGATCTCTCTTTTTAGGAAACGACATGAGACAATAATTTAGATTTCCCCCTATGACATCTCTAACAAGACATTCTGCTTTTGATCATACATTTCTCCCCAGCAGGGAGAATGTCTCTTTGAAAACTGCTAACTTTTTTCATATTCCATGATCAGCTTGCCTTGAAGGTGTATTCAAACGCCTTCTAAATGGTGTGTGATTTCATATTAGTCATAGCGCTCCTTTCTTTCTTTTAAAACCAAATCTCTGATTTTTAGTTTCGGCTTTCATCGGAGAGTTGCAGGCATAGCTCTCTCAAAACATAGCCAATTTCCTTTCAATTAAATTTGACAGGCTTTCCATGTTCACTTTAGGTTCACACAATCTTTAGGTAATATGGTTATAGTAAAGTATCCCATGCTGGTTTTAAACTCATTTTCACCAGTATACTGGAGCTAGACAGCGGTAAGTAACAGCATGAGGGCCCAAGTTCCAGATGTGTTCATTCAGTGGTACAGACACATGAAGGCTATGCAAATAAAACTACCATTCCACTTAACATCCTCTAACTGGCAACTCATACTATCAACATAGAATAGTAAAGCATGGAAGGAATCTGGAGAATATCTACTCAAACCCCTTGCGACACGCTAAACATTATAAACCCCCAGTAAACAACACAGCTGTTCATGATGTGGCCTTTAACACTGGCCATTTCATGGCATTTTGGAGCTGCAGTGAACATGGAAGGCCCTTAATACAAGAAGCTAAAAGCTTTTTTCTTAAATGAATTGTTTTATTCATGGGTGATGTAAAAGTACATACATACCTCGACCCATATCCAGTTCTGGGCACCTCCACTCAGGGTTAGTGTGAACACGACATTTAAAAATAGCTCCAGGGGACTTAATAGAGGTACTGTATTTAGAATTTGCCTTTGGAGCGCCAACCAAGATCCTGAAAATAGAAAGGAAAAAAATATCATTAACATATGTGAAAATCATAGAATAGTCAAATAGTCAAATAGTTGAGTTGGCCTATATATATATATACAATGTAAATATCAAGATACTGAAGATAGTAGTGACTGAGATCAGCTCCCAATATGACGTATATATATTTGTGCAGGGCCAGCTTTTTCCTGAAGAGAACGCTTTCTATCAACATTGTGAGGCCTTAGTGAAGCCTGCACATACCCAGTCACAGTGACAAGCCAGTATGTATGTATGTATGTATGTATGTATGTATGTATGTATGTATATATATATATGTATATGTATATGTATATGTATATGTATATGTATATGTATATGTATATGTATATATATATTTGTGCAAGGCCAGCTTTTTCCTGAAGAGAACATTTTCTATCAACATTGTGAGGCCTTGGTGAAGCCTGCACATACCCAGTCACAGTGACAAGCCATGTCTAGGCATTTTCGTTCAAAAGCATCCCCCAAAATAAGCTTGCACGAAAGGATGAGAACAAGCAGCATCAATATCTACTATTATTTTTCTCATTTCAGAAGCTTCATTATTTGAGACAACTCTAGCACACTGGAAAAGTGGATCTCCCTGCTTAGTAGAGACCCAGTCAAGTCTAGTAAGTTGATTGGTTTAGTATCAGATGGGCTAAATCTACATAGTTAGCTATATTCTGAGAGGGTAAAGCAAACATGAGAAGTCTTCCCTTGGGAAAAGGACCTTCCAATTGATACCATGGCTACTTCACAGTTCTGAGATTTAAATCCATTCATTTAAGGAGTAAGCAGGACCTGGAACATGATCTCTTAAGGAAAGGGACATGAGAAGCAGAAGACTGAGTTGTCCTTAAAGCAACAGTACACTTAATTCACCATGCCTGAATAAACCAGAACCTTCCACTGTATAAAGAAATTCTATCACCACTTTGTATGAAGAAGAAAAGAAAATGTTTGTGTTCCCTTTATCAGCAGTCAGAGGTACAATTTTGCTGTATTTCAAGAAACCGGAGCAACAGAATGTGTACTATGCAATAATATTTTACTGTTTCCTCAACAATGACTGACTTCAGCGAAGCCAGAAAAACGACACAGCAAATTTTAAAACAAACTCTGTATGAGGTAAAGGATGCATTAACAATTTGATTTCTCCTGAGTTTCAGAGGCTAAACTGTAAAATCACAGGATTATGACAGGAGCTACCTTCTAACAAGCAATGTTTTCACAAGTGAGAACAATTAGGGCTCAGATGCCTAAATTATGGCAAGCTACAAAGCCAGCAAAACAGAGAAGCAAACACAAGGGAATCTGAAATAGCAGCTCTAAGAGTAGCCAAGGAGTGACTACCAAGCTCCAATCAAAATATCAGTCATCCCCCCCAAAAAAAACATGCCGCATGAAGGAACAATGCTCATTATGAGAAGCCCGTTTAAAATTTCCAATGACTCCTGAAGAAACCATTTATATAATCTGCTATAATGAAAAGGAAATCAAGGACCAAGTGGTTGAGCTTCAGCTGCCTCAGATGTGCCTCTGCCCAGTTTTCATTTGGGTGGAACCAGCTAAAAGACCTTTCAGTGACCAAGAAAGGCGGGGCGGGGGGGATGACAATTTAAATGCACCCATACCAACCATACCAGACCGAAAACCTGGTGGCAGGGGATGCTTTGGGGGAAAAAATTGTTAAGTGCTAAATGAGCCTCTGTGGGAAGAGTCATCCAAAACCAATATGCCAACACTAAAAAGACCCTCTCTCTTTTGGCCACCCACTAGACCTTCTTTGGCAGGATAATCAGAGAAGCAAACCTAAGTAGGTTTGGTACACTGTTTAACAGAAAGTACTTAATTTATCACATCCCTCCCACTTCTTTCAATGGACCACAGTGCTTAAGGGGGGGGGGGTGTTCCTCTGTTTTAAAGAGGTTTCTGTTGAACAGAAACAAGAGTTTTGTCCTGTTCTGCTTTCTGATAAGAAAATGAGCACCTGGTAAAATTTTCCATCCCAGGCTACCCTCCAAGACTCACGAGCCTTCAAGTTTTTATTAAGGCATGTTTTGGGCCCTCTGGAGAGGCAAGATTGTTAAGCTCTTTAGCCCGATTCTCTTCAACATTTCTATCAATAATAAAGGGGTGCAAGGAAAATTCACTAAGTTTGCAGGTCATACAAAAGTGGGAGGACTAAAGTTTAGAGAGGGTGTTGAGAAAGCTCCCTTGGAGACTCCTTGCCTCCTGACGGAACTTCAATCTTTGGGCTTCTAGGGGAAGAGGAAATGGCTACACCTCTAACCCGGCTGATTAACGATTTATATTGCAAACAGAAGGATTATTGTTGATTGAGCCTGACCAGGTTTTAGGAGCTTTGAGGGAGGTGTTTTGCTTCATACAGCCTCCCTCTTTATTATCCTTCTACTGGCTGGCAGATAACCTTTATTCAAGCAGTCTCTTAACACCTCACCAGCTAATAAGCAAGGGTCATTTTAATGGAGACTCTGGTTCTTTTTTCCCCCTCCCCAGTGTGCTTCTAAATGATTTCTGATTGTTTTTAATATGGTGGTTGTTTTAATATGACTTTATGCATAATGGGAGCTAATGTTTGGGCCTATTGTGGCTAAATATTACTAAATATCTGCTTCTTCATCACGTAAGTACCCTTGTAATGTTTGGGCCTATTGTGGCTAAATATTCCTAAATATCTGCTTCTTAATCATGTAAGTATCGGAAGGAAGGAAGGAAGGAAGGAAGGAAGGAAGGAAGGAAGAGAAAACAAAGTGAGTTGCTACTGGAAGGAATAAGAAGACAAGCCAGCGTCTGGGCATCTCTTCTAGGTGTTCAGCTCTTCCCACTTGCTTTGCCCTGGGAAGGAAGGAAGGAAGGAAGGAAAGTGAGTTGCTACTAGAAGGAATAAGAAGACAAGCCAGCATTTGGGCATCTCTTCTAGGTATTCAGCTCTTCCCACTTGCTTTGCCCTCCCTGCAAACCTTACAGTATTCATGAAAGAGTTCCCAACAGTATAAGAAGTTTCAGAGCATGGTGATAGGCAGGTGAGCTGTCCTGGGTGCTGCACCTTCTTGCTGATTTTGCTCCACCAACACAAGGGGTCCTAGTGAGAGGTGGGTCTCCTATTAATTTAGAGTCTGCTACTTCAAGTACCTTGTAATTATATTCGCAAACGCTTTCACAGCCAGAGCACAGAGTGCTGTCCTCTGAAGATGCTGGCCACAGAGACTGGCGAAACGTTAGGAAGAACAACCTTTAGAACACGGTCAAAGAGCCCGAAAAACCCACAACTACCTTGTAATTATTTTGTTAACCTTCCCTCTTTTGTTCTCCAACTTTGATGTGAGTTATCTTTTCATTATATCTCTCAAAATTAATTGTATAATTAACTGTGTGATCTAAATATAATGTGGATTTATATCAAATCTCGTTAATTCACCAATTGGCATGAATTGTTCTTGTTTAAAATTTTAAAATGTGTTTGCATGAATTGTAATGTCATAGTGAATTGTATTTACATTTTGTTAACATATTGCAATAACAGTCATTGCATTTCTTTTGTGAAGTGCTTTGTGTACAACACATTGTGGAAATCTGATATACAAACTATGACTAAATACATGCGGAATGGGAGACAGGTGCCTATAAATAAGACCATTTTTTAAAAAAATGCTAAATTATTGACTTATAAGCTAGATAGAATGCCCCAGAAAAAAGATTTAAAAATATGTAAATAATTTATACCTGTCCCCTTGAGTGTCAGAGCCCCAATCACAAGGAGATATGGCAACACTATTAGAGAAATACTCTTTAGATTGTGTTCCATCTCAACATACTCATTTTATATTTGTTTTCTGGTTTTAGTCGCAACTGTAGAGAGCCCTAGAGACATAGAAAGGCCACAGCCTAAGGCAGCAGATTTAGAGTGTCATGAAAGGGCAACAAACCATTAGATGTTCAATTCATTATTGCTGCACTTGTGAGACTTCTGCCAGCGGTGATAAAACAGTAGATTTCAGGCAACAAAATGTCCTGGGGTGGCCCTGGTTCTCCTTAACTGTTCTATCATTTTTATAGCAGGCAACAGCAGAAACCACCGCTGACGGAGAAGTCTAACTTGGCTTTTAAGTCTTGCAAACAACTGAAGCTGTTACCCATCTAGTTAGAAACATTTAAACTGCAATTTTAACGTCATCTGCTCACATTTCACAGCTAAATTAGAAGAATTAGCTTCTAATCTTTCTCTTACGCTATATCAAGCAAAAGAAGTGATACTCTGATTTCCCTGCTGTGCCAAAAGAACAAAATAATAGAAGTAACAAATTAAATTTAGTTTAACATTCATCAAACAAAAGGCCTTCTGTTTAAACAAACTAAAATCAGTGTTAAATCTATAATGTTATTTATGGATTTCTGCACTGTGACACTTACAGATTTAGCTACGAAGAAAAATAGCAACATTCACCTTGGACAGGATCTATTGATTTAAATGAAGCAGTGAAGCTCACTTTTAAATACATCCTATTGACACTGATTAGAGTTTAAAGTTTTTTCTTCCTGGGCTCTGTCCTTTATCACCTATCTGTGCAGAAACCCCAAACCTCATTGTAATTTTGTCAGAATGAGTTTAATTAGCAAAATTCTTTTGCTTTAGCTAGCAAAAGAAGATGCGGCAGCTGAATGTTAGGTCAACTGGTTTTAAAAGGGAATCTCCAATTTATTTATTTAGCCAGACTGGTCATAATGTGGTCAGAGTTTTGTTCTTAAAAGCTATTTATTTTCACAAACTTTGTAATAACCACAATATTTTGCAAGAACTTCCCCTTCTGCTGGAGTCTCTATGACCAACTGTACAGGAAAGCATGTAAAGTGAAATCCATGAGAAGAAACAAGGTACTTCTCAAGTTACTAATTCCTCAAGAGTCTGAGTCAATATTTTGTTACACACTTGGAATTCAGGTATTCAGCAAAGAGAAACAG